ATTTTTCGCATTTGTTTTGAAACACCCTGTAAATTTTACCTAATTGATAATTAAATATTATTACTATTAATCTACAGCAACTTTAAATAAAAAAAATTAATGGTATTTAAGATAATTATTACAAATAACTAATTTTAAAAAATTTTAACATACTGTAACTCTAAAACTATGCATTTTCATATCCATGTTTATAGATACCTTTTTCATAATTTTGATGAGGAATCAATGAGTACTTATTTAAAACTTACGCAAGTTGATGATGTTAAATTTTTTTAAAGGTTGCTATATAATTTGTAAATTTACAGAAAAATGTAAATTTATAGAGAAACTGTAAATTCACAGGAAATATGTAAATTTACAGAAAAAGTGAAAATTGTCAGAAAAAGTTTAAATTTGCAGAAAAACTGTAAATTTACAGAAAACCTGTAAATTTACAGAAATTGTAAATTTACAGAAAATGTGTAAATTTATATAAAAACTGTAAATTTACAGAAAATGTGTAAATTTACGGAGAAACTGTAAATTCACACGAAATTTGTAAATTTACAGAAAATGTGTAAAGTTGCAGGAAAACTGTAAACTCACAGGAAATTAGTAATTTTACAGAAAAACTGCAAATTTACAGAAAATGTGTAAATTTACAGAAAAAGTGTAAATTGCCAGAAAAAAATTAAATTTGCAGAAAATTTGTAAATTTACAGTTTTTCCGTAAATTTACACATTTTCTGTCAATTTACAGAAAATGTGAAAATTTACAGAAAAACTGTAAATTCACAGGAAATTTGTAAATTTATAGAAAATGTGAAAATTTACAGAAAACTGTAAATTTACAGAAAAACTGTAAATTCACACGAAGTTTGTGAGTAACGAACAGGTCGATGCCGAGACGTCGTCTTGCTGAGTACGATAGTATGTTTCGCATGCAATGTGCATATGGGTTATCACTAAAACATTTTTCGAAAAAAAACGTGCGCCACTGACTTTTTTCTTTTAATATTAAAATTGTGTTGGCCTTTTAATGCCGATTAAAAGTTATCTCTTGACATTTTGTCGAATTCGACCTCCTTGATGAGAGAAACGTAATTTTATTAATCTCAATAAAATTAAAATAAAATTAATAAATTATATATTTTACCTAATTTATAATTAAATATTATTACTATTAATCTACAGCAACTTTAAATAAAAAAAATTAATGGTATTTAAGATAATTATTACAAATAACTAATTTTAAAAAATTTTAACATACTGTAACTCTAAAACTATGCATTTTCATATCCATGTTTATAGATACCTTTTTCATAATTTTGATGAGGAATCAATGAGTACTTATTTAAAACTTACGCAAGTTGAGACTTGGATCAAAGCAAATTAATAAAACCGCGTTTATCTCATCAAGGAGGCAGAAATCGACAAAATATGAAGAGACAACTTTTAATCGGCGTTAAACTGCTTACACTATTTCGCTAGCAAGAGAAAAAAAAAGTCAGTGACGTACATGTATTTTTTAGAAAAATATTCCAATGATAACCCATGTGCACGTCCCTGGTAAATATGTCGACACTTTTTTAGCGTTAAAATAGTGATGGGTTGTTATTTAACTATCTGTTATTTTATAACAATTATTTAGAAATAACATAACGCAACCGTTACTGCTTCTAAAAAATAACAGATATAAAATAACGACACGTAGAGATCGGCCGCTCGTGAAACGAAAAACGAAGTCGGCGCTCTGCACCGCCCCGAAATTCTAATATGCTGCTCGAAGCAATTCCAAAAAAACAACTAGTATGGATGGAAAAACCACATTAACGCTCTAGCCGGGCGGAGAACTTTGGCTCCCGAAGCAAACCCGAAGTAAAAACATCTGCAATAATCACGGACATCCGTCTTTTTCATTTCGGCAAACATTTCGGCAGTGCGTTTTGCAGTGTTTAGTCGGTATGTCGGGACTTGGTTATTATCATTTATAAACCGATAACCGGCCTAACCGGCATAACCGGCGATATCCCTAACCCCATTATTTACTTATTTGTTGTTTTAGTTTAGTTTTTACTACCAATTATTTTTTGACAATAATTTTTGTTGTTTATTTGCAGATGTTTTAAATGAAGTTCCTTCTGAAGTTGAAGAATTATGTATTGATTCGGGTGAAGGTGAAAATGATTCCTCTGTAATTATTAAACAACTTTCTAAAAAACAAAAAGCAACAATATCAGTTCAAGATAGGCAGAAGAACCTACTACAACAATATCATGACATAATAAATAGCTGCGATTCACATGAAAAGTTGGACGCACTACAAAAAAATGTAAATTCTTTAACCGCTGTATTGGCCGCGATAGATCATAATAATGAAAGCAGCCAACGTTTCCAGCCCTCTGATAAGATCATTATGGCTAACGAAAATATCATACCTCAAAGGAAATTTTGGCCCACAAAAAAGAAATCAAAGAAATCCAATTCTGTCATCAAAAAACCCACTTCAGACGAATCAAACATCATAGCAATTCAGATTTTGTCAAATAATATATAAATTAATATATATTTTTTTATTAATAAGATGTAATGTTTTTTAAATAGTTTGTTTCAGCGGCTTTGTGAATGTGATACGTCATTGATTTTGGAAGAATAAAAATTGCATCTTTTGTCATCTTTTGTTTCATTAAAAAGTAACAAACTATTGCAAAAATCACAATTTTATTTTATCTTTACTAATAAAACATAAATGTAAATATTCTAAAAATATTTCGAAGTTAGTGGAACCTCCGCTTAGGTATACCAGAAGTTACCTAAAACTTGCTAATTTTAAATGGGATACCATTTAATAATTTTTAAAACAAAAATTTTATACTATTTATATAGAATTGACTAAAAAACTAAACAAAAATTAGAATATCATAACAAACGATGAGGTAATAAAATAATAAATGAGGTTTTAAAATTCATTAAACTTTATTATTATAAAGTTCAATAACGATAACGATAATAGATAAACAATGGACGAACATTATATTCTGAATTTAGCGCCATATTAGGTGGGATTTAAAACGCCGTTCGGTAAAATTCGGGAGCCAAGTTTCCCGCCCGGCTAGACGTTAGTTGGAAAACCTGTTATTTCGTCAACCATCGATACAGGCGGCGAGACCACGGACAACGGAGTGGGGAATGCGCTACGGCGAACGTAGCTGCTTCGGTCGATCCCGTCGACGGTCGTATTGCGCTTATAACAGCTTAAAAATAATAGGATATAAAAGAAGCAGGTTTTTTGAAACAGTTGCGGGCATAACGCCTGGCGGTCGAGATAACAGGAGTGGGAAAGGAAGGCTGCTGCATCGGTCGATTGTCGATGGAAGTTCGAAACAGGTTGGAGAATAACGCATCAGTTGTTTTAGATATATTGTTTTTCAACCTGTTACGAGCATAACGGGCGGAGGTCGAGATATTATGGCGCTGTATGTTTCAGTACGTTATTAAGTTTCAATATTTAGGTATTTATTTATTCTGAAAAATTTTCAGAATAATATTTTAAGATTTTTTAAAAATGTATACAGGGTGTTTTGAAAAATCTGGTCATTGATTAATCACGATCCTGCTTAAAGCCCTTGACGTAAAAAGCTGATTTTTGGAAAACGGATTGACTTTAGGGTGTAGAGGTTCGATAAGAAGGGATTTTTCGAAACTCGAATTCAAAGGGGGTGAAACCACCCTCAAATATTAGAATATTTTTTATTTAAAAACCGGTGAGTTTTCCGGAAAAACTCTTAAACACGTATATTTTATTTCGTTGTTTTACATATTTTAAGATTTTTTAAAAATATATACAGGGTGTTTCATAAAATGTGACCATTGAGTAATCACGATTCTGCTTAAACTGCTTGACGTTTAAAGCTGATTTTTGGCAAACGGATTGACTGTGGGGTTGAGGTTCGATAAGGAGGGGTTTCTCGAATCTTAAATTCCAAGAGGGTGAAAACGCCCCTCAAATATTACAATATTTGTTATTTAAAAAACGGTTAGTCTTTCGGGAAAACGCTTGGACACGCATAATTTATTTTGTTTTTTTACATATTTTGAAATTTTTTAAAAAATAATACAGGGTGTTCCAAAAAGTTGAGTAATTGATTAACCACGATTCTGCTTAAACTGCTCGACGTTTAAAGCTTATTTTTGGCAAATGTGAGAAAATTTTATCCAGTTTGTATGTCAATAGAAATTCTTGCTTTGCTTTATCATCACCATTACAAATTATTAATTCGACGCGAACGAAGTCGCGGGTACACGCTAGTTTAAGTGTAAAATTAATTCGAACTCTAGTGTATAGTTGGTTTACTTATGAAGAATATACTACACATTTTCTTATATTGCTATTTTTTGACCACAAATGGTAAAATTATAACTAAGAGCTTCTTGCCCGTCGAGTGAGATGCACCCTGTACACTGCTACGCAATTCAGGATCTACGCCGATCGAGGGGCAAGGCGTAGGTAGATCGGAATGTATACGTATAGACGAGTGGCGGAATTTTGGCTTTTTTATATCGCAATTTGTAAACAGCGCTTATTTGTAAACAACGACCGTTTTTAGAGAGGTATTTTAGATAACAATCGATATTTAGAAATTTTTAGACACCCTGGAAATACTACCACCGAGCATGTCATTGTAGCAACTTGCAACTGCGTTAATACGCCTGGCGGCGACCGCTTCATACTCTTTCAGATATTTAGCAATAAAATAAAGAAACCTGTTATTTTTAAGCTGTTATTTTAAGCTGTTTTTTATAAATAACTATAACAGTTTCAACTGTTATCTAAAAATAACAGTTTTGCCCATCACTACGTTAAAATATGTCGCATTGATAGTAACTTTTACCCTCAAAATTTCATTCAAAACGCTAAAAATACTTGGAAGAAAATTATAATAAATCAAAAAATATTAACACCCTGTATAAATGCATTATGAAGCTCTACAGTATTTTTCTTTTATGCTTTTTGGACTTACCAGGTTTGGCCTGAAGGGGGGTTCCAATTTTCTAGCTTCTAGCGCTGGCCAGTCTATTGGTTGGAAGAACGGATGATCCTGTATATCGCCGTGAGGCGAAAATCGGTTCCCAAGTCTCTTATTTGCATCTTTTTCCAAAAACTACACAGACAACAACACAACTTAAAAAAGGAGAATTAGAAGAGATAGGGGTTGTTCACCACATACGGAGTATATTGTAGCTGGAACGATGAGATCTTTACATAGTTCAGTTTTTGATTGATGAGGATTAGGAGGTAATTTAAAATAATTTTACATGATACAGAGTGTCCCAAATAAGTAAAAAATATCTAAGTTGTATTTTTTTAAATGGAACACCCTGTATATTATTACATTTTTAGTTTCTACGATTAAAATAAAGGTAAATTTGATTAAGGTTAATGATACTTAAACCTTACCGTTTTTGAAATATTTTCAATTTTGTGAAATTGCAGTAAACATTTTAAGGCTTCATTTCTCCAAGGGTATCAAAGTTTTTAATACTAAATATTTACTGAAGTTTATTTATTGATCAGTTATTGTGTTGCAATAATAAAAATAATACAACCTTATACAGAGTGTCTAAAAATTTATTTTAAATAATTATTAGCTTCAAACGGCAATAACTTGTTTAATTTAAATGGAACGCCCTGTATATTTTAGGAGAATCAGATGCACAATTTAATTGTCTATCAAGTTGTGTTATGCCATTTTTTACCTGTCCCTTCAAGTTTTCGTAGAAAATGCATTTTCTTATAAATTAGACCTCATTTATCAATATACCCGTGGAATATTGACATTTGAGATTGTTTTTAAAGATGTATCAAATTTTTAAAGAGTCCAGATACTAATATTGTGGATATAATTCGTTTGTTTCATTAAAAAATAAAAAAAACTGTTTAAATATTTGTTAAAGAGGACCAATTAATATGATTCCAGTATTCAAACTACATTAACTAGCTGCGTTGATTAATAATAATAGCTCCAAATACTAAAAAACTGAATTTTGTATGGGTATTAGACAGTGTGATAAAAAGTAACACCTAAAAATGATATTTCATTTTTTAATAAATGCTTATTTATAACAACAGAGATTTTAATTTTGATAACTTATTAATATATTGATTTCTGACTCAAATCCACATTTATTTAGAATAATTTATTAACGAATACAATTAAGTATGTAATTAATTAGTATATGGGCGGAAATAATGGTGTTATATTTAATTAATGGTATACTCTTTTATAAAGACTTAAATAGTTTTCTTTTTGCATACACATGGGCTAGTAATATTATCGTTTTGCTAAAAACGATAATATTACTAGCCTGTACATTTTGTACATTTGTTGCTTTAAAAACAATCTCAAATGTCAATATTCCATGGGTATATCGATAAATGGGGTCTAAATTATAAGAAAATGCATTTTCTACGAAAACTTGTAGGGATAGGTAAAAAATGGTATAATACAATTTGATAGACAATTAAATTGTGCATCTGATTCTCCTAAAATATATAGGGCATTCCATTTAAATTAAAGAAGTTATTGGCGTTTATAGCTAGAAATTATTTAAAATAAATTTTTAAACACTCTGTATAAGGTAGTATTATTTTTATTATTGCAACACAATAACTGATCAATAAATAAACTTCAGTAAATATTTAGTATTAAAAACTTTGATACTCTTGGAGAAATGAAGCCTTAAAATTTTCACTGCAATTTCCCAAAATTGAAAATATTTCAAAAACGGTAAGATTTAAGTATAATAAACCAGGGTGTTCCATTTAAAAAAATACAACTTTGATATTTTTTACTTATTTGGGATACTCTGTATCTTGTAAAATTATTTTTAAATTGTCCTCTAATAGTCCTACATCGAACCCAAAACTTGAAATTTGTAAAAATCTAATCGTTTAGCTACAATACTGTCGTATGTGGTGAACAACCCTGTAGAGACTTGGACTAACTTTAAAAGTGTGTGAACAAATAATGTTACAGCTATTTAGTTACCATTACTGACCTGTGTTAGAACAGAGTTGGCATCAGCACTCAGGAACCTAGGAATCACTGGCTTCTCGTTGCATATGGACCAAAAGAGCTCGTCTTCGTCGCAACCGCTGAAAGGAGACTGACCCAGCAACATCTCGTAGAGCAGAACACCAAATGACCACCAATCAACGCACTGGTTGTAATGCTGACCCTTAATAATCTGAAATAAGATATATTGACGTTATATTTAACCCTTTGCAAACATCACGTTTGAATTGTTAAAATCTACTCTATAATATGTGTGTTTACAAAAATATCTTTTATTGATTACTCTTGAAGTGGCCCTAAGACTTTTTTCAAGATCACGTACCTTGTAATTCTTTATGTAATTAAAAAAAATGCTTCAAACCTTTTTTTTAATACCAGCTCTTAAACATAACTACCTTTCATCCATAACTATAAAACTATTTTCAAAACAAAGCAAGTGTATTAATAATAATTAACTAAAATACAGGGTGGTCCGAAGTGTATTCGGAACTTGTATTCGAACTCCTGCAGCGTATTCTGCAGATAAAAATAAGTAAAAATGATCGTAGAAATGTACTTCCTAAAATGCTTAGTTTTGGTGTATAATAGGAGTTTCATTTTTTTTTCTCTTTGTGTCTGGGAGTTTTTTGACCTGAGAAATTTGATTTTGATGTCAATATGGCTCCTATTTGTAGGGGGCGCCACTTACTATGTGTTTTAACTGTTTTGAGGGTAATAACTTTTCGCCCGTACCTGTATAAAACTACTGAGTGAAAAAATATTTATTTCCGTGATTTTTTACGTAAAAAATGTCTCTTGGTAAAAATCGCTAGGATCACCCGTACTCAAGATATTCAGAATGGAAATAATCAATACATGTCATTATTGAGAGAAAATAAACATGTTGAGAGTAGATAGTTATTTGGCTGAAATGATAAATTTAGGAACTTTTTTTTTTTTAATTAATTATACATTTTTCTTCGAAGAAATGATGATAAAACAGTTTCTGTTGAAATGTTGGCACAAAAACATTTCAAATTTATGATTTCAGTTGGTTAGGTTAGGTTTATTCCAAATATCTCGAGAATCATTATTCGTGGCGATTTTTACCAAGAAACCGTCGTTAATGCATATTTTTTTTACTCAGTAGTTTTATACCGGTACGGACAAAAAGTTATTACTCTTCAAAACAGTTAAAACCATAGACTTAAAATAAAATATAGACCACACTATTTACATCTCAACGCGGACAAACAACCTTTTTTGTACACATGTTTACTTCTGGGTACAGTCGACCGAGCCTTCCTCAACCAGCCTATGTTGTCACGTCTTTAATATTATCAATATTTTTTTTCTTGTTATACACATATATTGAGATATTAATACTACAGTTTAATAAAGTAGGTTTTAATATTCCATAGATGTATTAAATAGTCCTTATACTACTAAATTATAAGTCGGATACTGTTTAATAAGGATAAGTTCTTTACAATATGACAACACCTATTAGAGGCGAGGGAGCCTATTCATTCATTTATTACCTTGTAGTACGTGTCGCACGTGTGCGGTAAAGCTTTGTTGCCGCTATCTCCCCGGCTGTATTAACGCATTTTCTTAGCTTGTAGTCCTTAAGTGTTTATTTCATTGACTTTTTCTGTTCAAAAACTATAAAATATGGTTCGCCAGTGCCAAATTTGCAAGAAATTTGACTTAAATAATCCATTTAAGTCTTGAAACGACTTTGACCGGTAGGCAACTCTCAATTTACCCATTGGCAGTCAGTGGCGTTGTTGTAGAAAGGCGCTTATTTAGATAATATTTTAGTAAAATGTAAAATCTGAATTTTTCTTTTTACATTACATTATTTACTTACTTACATTGTAACAAAATCATAATTATAACCCTGTTAATAATTAATAATGTTTTTATTAAAAATATATTCCGGTTTATTCTAAAATTATCTTCAGAATCTAAAATAACATACAAGAATTTTAAAATGATATTACATTATGAAACAATATTTTTTAATATACGTGTCAAATAAAAAAACAGATTTGTATGTTTGTAGGTATATGACATAAATTAGGATTTATTGACGTATTCAATTGTTTTTGGTCTCTTCCTGTTTCACCGAAATGATTACATCTTTTGATTTTTAAAGGCACCCTCGGTATATTGCTACTTTATTCGATAAAAAATGACACTCTGAATAGAATGACATATCATATGTCAACTTTTGACATTGTCGCTTAAAAACATATCCTATTTTAAATTTTAATCCAGTTTTTTCAATCCACTAAGTTTTAATCAAGGAGCCTTGGATCGTCTAATAGGTTTCGTGTCTTGTCTAGGCCGGTTAAAAGATGTACAAATCGTATTTTTAATCATACATATGTCAATTTTTTCAAATGGAACAAGGGTGACTCATTAGCATATTTGGAAAAAGCATTTTTTTATGAATATATTGATACCACACACTTGGTATTTCGAGTCAAATTGTCGTTATGAACCGCGTGTTACAATTACAATTAAACCATATGCGAAAATGTCAAAAGTTGACATATGATATGTCATTCTATTCAGAGTGTCATTTTCTATCGAATAAAGTAGAAATTACCGAGGGTGCCGTTTAAAAATTAAAAGTTATAGTCATTTCCGGTGAAACAGGAAGTGACCAAAAACAATTGAATGCGTCAATCAATCCTAATTTATTTCATATACTAACATACTAAATCTTGTTTTTTTTATTTGAAAATATAAAAAAATTATGGGGATGAGCCACTTTTGAGACGCACCCGGTATAATAAAGACAGTACCGAGTTATAAATGTAGTTTTTATTTTATCCACTTCCTATCACCTTCCTTGCTTTAATGGAACAGATTTATGTTTTCTCTAATTTACATAATAAGACATCACTTAACCAGAAAAAAAATTACAACAATCATATTTTTTTTCTCTCCCTGTTGCCGATTCTATTATATCTGTGGAATAGATCCTGTTTTGATTAATATTAGGGGTTGTAAATGTTTGACTAAAATTAATAATTTATTATTAATTTCAAAAATTACCTAATTTCGATGATAAAATTTCTTCTATAACGTGTATTTTATTATTTTTATCCTTTTTGGACTCTAAATTGTTTTTTCTAAACTTTTATTTAAAAAATCTTAATAAAATATAAAAAAGTTTAAATACGATATATTTTTAATTTAATTATAGCTTCATTAAAATAAAAAAATTACCCGGCTATGATACGGAGAGTTCAGGTGTACTTGAGAAACGAAAGACAGTGTTGTGTTTTTCGGCAGAGTCGTCAGGGAACGACCGTTATGACAGAGACAACCTATCTATCGCTCGTGTCGCACTCGTTATAACCTAAAACAATAACACAACAATAACAAGACAGTGTCTGACCGCATGTTCCAGCTATTTATGAATGAGATGCTCAGTCTATATTTTATTTTAAGTCTATGGGTAAAACACATGTAGTTGGCGCCCCCTACAAATAGGAGTCATATTAACATCAAAATCAAATTTCTCATGTAAAAAAAACTCCCAGACACCAATTTCTATCCAAATATTGACGTTACTTAAGAAATTATTTGGAAAAAATCGAAATAAAAATAAAAATTCCACACCCTGTATCTCCGAAATTAAGCATTTTAGGAACATGACAGTAAAATTACAGTACATTAGAAAAAGTACATTTATACGAATTTTTTTACTTATTTTTATCTGCAGAATATGCTGCCGAAGTTTCCGGACTACAGTTCGGTCCACCCTGTATATCAGGCTATAACTAATAATAAACTGGATATGTTCATATCGTTTTCTTGGGCGTTAAAAATAAAAAAGAAATAGTGCAGGATAACACAAATTTATTGCTTTGGAAAATGTGGTATTAATTTCATCGCTAGAATGAACAACAATCTCAAAAGTTGTTCCTTGCTCCATGTTGGAGATAAAAGATAATATAGGGCGTTAGAAAAGCTTTTGGAATGGTATCGATACAGCAGCGCCTATAAACTATAAGCCAGTGGGATTATAGTTTTAAAAAGCTTTTGAAGAATGTAATATTTTAAAAATAGTAAAGCAAATTGTTTTTTTTTAATAAATTCAACAAATTTATACTCAAAATACAATATTTGAAAGATCTCTTTGAAGATTACTTATTTATGAACTATATTCTATAGGTTGAGAGTATCAAGTTGAATTTCAAATAAAAAGAAGAAAGAAACAAGAATTATTAAATCAGCAAAATAGACTAAACTAAAAAAAGAAAGAAAAGTATTAATAAAAAAATTAAAGAAAACAAATTATAACTAACCTAACCTAACACAAACAGCAAATAAGCAAGAGTTATTAAAACTCGTTCATTTGATATCGTTTATTGAGCAGCGTATCTCTATTTTATGTTCACAAACCAATATGATATCGATGAGCATCCATTTTCAACGATTCTCTTCCAAACGCGATAAGCGTTTAATAACGATGTGTAGGGAATTTTCTCGAACATTATTGCATTTAGATTATGAAAAGGCGCGGGCGATTGAGCCAAAGGCCTCGGTATTTTGCTGATATAAAAATCGATAACCTTGACACGCCTACCATATTCAATAAATTCGTTTTTATATTGAAAACGATGCCTTTATATGCCTTATTATTTTTCTTTATTTCTGTATGTTAAAAAATTAATGTAAATTTGTTTACCAGCTAAAGGCCATTAACAGGTAGGTTTACGTTTGGATTTTAACGCAATTATATTTTACAAAAAATGTATTTTTTTATATTTAAATTTTTATTTCCGAAGCAAAATTTTCAGGCCTTTTTTTTAGAAATTAATTTATTTCTAAAGCTTTAATATTAGTAGTCTCGATTATATTTTATACTTAAGATTTTACGATTATTCACAATGTCTAAATAATGCAATTAAAATTAATAGAATATCCTAGCAACAGCTAGTCTGTTGTATCCATAGAGAAAGTCTAATAATTAGCTTACAAGACATTCAATTTTTGATTTCTTACCACTTTTATATAAAAACTGTAAATTTACAGAAAATGTGTAAATTTATGGAGAAACTGTAGATTCACACGAAATTTGTAAATTTACAGAAAATGTGTAAAGTTACAGGAAAACTGTAAACTCACAGGAAATTAGTAATTTTACAGAAAAACTGCAAATTTACAGAAAATGTGTAAATTTACAGAAAAACTGTAAATTCACAGGAAATTTGTAAATTTAAAAAAAAAGTGTAAATTGCCAGAAAAAAATTAAATTTGCAGAAAAACTGTAAATTTACAGTTTTTCCGTAAATTTACACATTTTCTGTCAATTTACAGAAAATTTGTAAATTTACAGAAAATGTGAAAATTTACAGAAAACTGTAAATTTACAGAAAAACTGTAAATTCACAGGAAATTTGTAAATTTACAGAAAATGTGAAAATTTACAGAAAACTGTAAATTTACAGAAAAACTGTAAATTCACACGAAGTTTGTGAGTAACGAACAGGTCGATGCCGAGACGTCGTCTTGCTGAGTACGATAGTATGTTTCGCATGCAATTTACAGAAAAATTGTAAATTTACAGAAAAATTGTAAATTTACAGGAAAGTTGTAAATTTTTAGCAAATGTGTAAATTTACAGGAAAACTATGAATTTATAGGAAATTTGTAAATTTACAGAAAAATTTTAAATTGCAGAAAAAGTGTAAATTTACAGAAAAAGTGTAAATTCACAAAGAAGCTGTAAATTTACAAGAAATTTGTAAATTTACAGAAAATGTGTAAATTTACAGAAAGACTGTAAATTCACAGGAAATTTGTAAATTTACAGAAAAAGTGTACATTGCCACAAAAAGTGTAAAATTACAGAAAGGCTGTAAATTTACAGGAAATTTTTAAATTGCCAGAAAAACTATAAATTTACAGAAAAACTGTCAATTTATCTTAATGCTTTAAGTATCTAATAAATGTGACTTACCTCTGGGGCCATATAATCCGGAGTACCACAGAACGTATCCGCCATTCTATCGAGGAAAATCTGGAGTTTGCACATGCCGAAATCGGCGATCCTGACGTGCCCGTCGAAGTCCAACAATATATTGTCCAATTTCAAGTCCCTGCAAAGAAAATAAAGTTTAATGAAATCGCCTGAATCGACAAAAAAGAGATCGTCTGTGTTTTTGTCTCCGTCTGGGTTTTCTTTATTTTTTTTTCGTTTAAGTTACAATGTCTTACATAAATAAAAGAAACAAAAAGAGGAATTTATGTGTTTTAATAAACTCAGTACTAGTTGAGTTTGTTGATTTACTAGTTTCATAAAAAATGTTTACTTAAGTATTTAAGAGCTTTTATTATCATAAAAGCTCTTTTTCTTATTTTAGAAAAATACTGCCCTATATAATCTCAAGTTGGTACAAGAGAGAAAAGCCTACGTCCGAAAATAATATATTTTGTTAAATTTATCGTAAAACGCAATACCTTTATCACGCACAGGGAAAAGAGATTGCTAAAAAACCAACCAGATATCTTTCTCTTTCTCACACTAGCTGGAAAAACCTCATGAGCGTAGAGGAAAAAAGAATTTTTGAGTTATTAAGATCGTTTTCTGTAATATTTCATCGGGATAAAATGTATTCTCTCCGGGCCTACGATAATTTTTATTACTTAATATTTCATCAGAAAGAACACGGTCTCAATTTTGTTTTATAAAAGTGTTATTAGTGTTATTTTTTAACCTGAAAGCAAAAAAAGTAATATTTTTTCATCATTAACTTCAAAAAAAGTTTTAGAATTTTGGTAGAACCAAAAAAAAATATTTTAATAGTAATTTCTATATAAATAAATCAAAGTCTCAATTATTATTAATTTTTGATGATATTTTGCAATATGACGAGGTGGCTTTGGTCACTATTATCGTACGGTCATATTGATAATTACATTTTATGATTACATGTTGTGTGTTAAAGCGTAACGCGTATTATTTAACGTATTATACAGGGTGTATTAAACTTAGGGTAAAAAAACAACCTTTCGATTAACCCTGTATAATAAACCAAATACTAAAGTTTATAAAAACTGAATTTATAAATTAAATTTGATATATTAATAAACAATTTGCCAAAAACTCAAGAAAATAGGACTAAAAATGAAAAATATATCAACCAACCAAAACATTCCAACCAAACCAAAACACCTTAAATTTGACAAAAAAAAAATTCCGATACGTTTTTTTTTTTGCATTTGAGTGTAATTAACATTCATTTCTTAATTTGGCTGTCTATGATACACATTTTTTTTCCAAACATAATTTTCCAAACAAAATTTTCCAAACATAATTTTCCAAACATAATTTTCCAAACATAATTTTCCAAACATAATTTTCCAAACATAATTTTTCAAACATAATTTTCCAAACATAATTTTCCAAACATAATTTTCCAAACATAATTTTCCAAACGTAATTTTCCAAACTAAATTTTCCAAATATAATTTTCCAAATATAATTTTCCAAACATAATTTTCCAAACATAATTTTTCAAGCATAATTTCCAAACATAATTTTTCCAAACATAATTTTTCTAAACATAATTTTTACAAACATAAGTTTTCAAATATAATTTTCCAAACAGGTAACCTCTAAGCAATTTCAAGACAGAAAAGTTTTACTGTAATCATAATTAGAATGTTTGAAATTTTCTTTCGGCGTCTCAGCTGTTCACCTTTCTTGGAAAATCCGACGAAAATCAACATCGTCGGAAGTAAAACAAACATTTAACGCTGCCAATTCGATTAGTTCGGGCGTCTCTTAGTTCGAACGATCCGTCACTTGGCCTTCCTCGCGCTTCGATTATCTTTCGTTCCCGCTATATTTTCTACCTTGGATGGAAATTCAGAGTTCAGAGCGATAAAAAGTTACCAGTAGCAGGAGCCAACAACCGAGTTATACAAATCCATGAGCTTAAGAGTCCATTTCACTACAAAATAAAAACAATAAATCACCACAATACACCAAAACGTTTCGCTAACCATGTTAGCATCATCAGCAGATGATTATATACTAAAGTACAATCTACAAGTTGAGCGTTTATATACTCGCTCAGTGGGCACCGAGTGGGCGTGGCAAAATCTAGCCAACCGAGTCAGAGCCAACTGAGCGTAACAGTTAGATTTCCGCCACTAGAGTAGTAGGAACAAAGAACTTGAAGGAATTGGATCGTTGACTCTGTTCATACTATCTTTACATTTATTAATTCCGATGCTTTCATATGCATCTAATTGCCTGTAATTTGAGACTTGTTTAATTAATTTTAAATTATTAAGATCTATACAATGTTCATTATCAACAATATGTTCGGCAACGCAAGATTTATCCGGTCTACCATATCTTATTTGAGCTAAATGTCCTTTAAATCTAGTTAATATTGATCTTCTAGATGGTGGTCATACCAATCCATCTTATTCACTAAAAAATGTTTCTTATGTTTTAAATTTACTATGCATGGGGTTACATATAAATTCATCAACATAATCATTTCAAAAATTACACATCATACTTCAATATGATTGCTGGATGTTTAAGATTTTTAACACTTAAATTGTTGTCAAATAATTGTGTTAATTATGTAAGTATTTTAACTCATTAAGCTTAAAACTTTAAAACTGAATTATATCTTTTAAATGATGGTTTGAAATACTGTTATATACAGTTTTTCTATCAGATTATGTCTATAATATTATAAATAATCGTTTTTTCGGGCAGTAATCTACGCTATGGAAAGATGCGTACAACTTAATCTTAAATAGAAACTATCGGAAACAGGAGATAGTGAAGCAGCACTTAAAACCATCAATTCGAAATCTGAAAAGGATATAACTTGAGAATGCAATCTAGAGATCAGAAGAGGTACCACAATAGATCTGTAAAGATCGCAGTGGAATATACCAATAATAGCCACCTCACAAAATCCCTCTATCCAGAATATTTGTCACTCTAAGTCTTTTAATCTCTGATGGGGAAAGGTAACTCGATTCAGACGTTACGTTCTTCAGGGGGACATGCCGATGAAGAGACGTAGTTTTGGAGATCTTCTGATTTATTCTGTCAATATTTCGACGTCGCGCAAAATAACAAGATTAGCGAACGTTTCGGGCTTGTTTTTGCAACAGTTTTTTGAGCGGAAGAGGCAGGCGTCAATAGACTTTCGGTTTGTTTACCTCAATTGATTTTTGTTAGCCGTCAAGAAAATTTCTTGGCTCTTCTTAAGAGTTCAGGAAGCAAATTTATCAAATTTAATTGAAAATGGCTGGAGTAACCATTTGATTATTTTAGTTCTCTCAAAGTATAGTTATTTTTTTCTTAAATAGAGTCATAACTCCCTTGGGGCATTATTAAAGAAAAAGAAAAAGAAAAAGAAAAAGAAAAAGAAAAAGAAAAAGAAAAAGAAGAAGAAAAAGAAAAAGAAAAAGAAAAAGAAAAAGAAAAAGAAAAGGAAAAGGAAAAGGAAAAAGAAAAAGAAAAAGAAAAAAAAAGAAAAGAAAAAAAGAAAGAGAAAGAGAAAAGAGCCTTCCTCAGGCTGAAGCACACATTGTACCGTTGTTTGATTCTTAAAATTATAAAACAAAAAAAAATCTTTCAAATTATAAAACTAAAAACCATGTCAGTCGAAAAAAATATTTTATTTTAGCGTATCCCTGCGCCAGAGTTATTCTAATGATATCTATTTCTAAAGGAAGTGGAATAGGAAGAAATAAAATATCAAATAGTCCTTAGTTAAGGCAAATCTTTTTGCGAAGTGGACGGCAGTGATTGTCGATGAAGCAGTAGAAAAAGCGTCAAATTCTGAGAAAAAAACAGTAAAGTAGGATAGTAAAGAAGGTTAGGAAGGATCTTAGACTATATTTAAGCTAGACACAATCTCTGAAATACATTTTATATATTTAAAGAGTATTTAAAAAAAGTAGTTTAAAAGCAAAAAGCGACATGTATTTGTTGATAATGAACATCAGATAAAGAAATTAAAATAAAAATGTCCCGAAGAAAAATAATATAAACAATTTTACAAGACCTGGTGCATCAGCTTCGTATACTATAAAGAAAATTAGAGATAAAACTCAATAAAAACCACTTTTAGCAAAAATTGGCATGTTTTTCTTGATAATTAAGATCAGATAAACAAATTAGAATAGAAATGCCCCGAAGAAAAGTAATAGAAACACTTTTACAAGACCTGGTGCATCAGCTTCGTATACTATAAAGAAAATTAGAGATAAAACTCAATAAAAACCACTTTTAGCAAAAATTGGCATGTTTTTCTTGTTAATTAACATCAAATAAACAAATTAGAATAAAAATGCCTCGAAGAAAAGTAATAGAAACAATTTTACAAGACCTGGTGCATCAGCTTCGTATACTATAAAGAAAATTAGAGATAAAACTCAATAAAAACCACTTTTAGCAAAAATTGGCATGTTTTTCTTGATAATTAACATCGGATAAACAAATTAGAATAAAAATGCCCCGCAGAAAAGTAATAGAAACAATTTTACAAGACCTGGTGCATCAGCTTCGTGTACTATAAAGAAAATTAGAGATAAAACTCAATAAAAAGCAGTTTTAGCAAAAAACAACATGTGTTTCTTGATAATTAACATCAGATAAACAAATTAGAATAAAAATGCCTCGAAGAAAAGTAATAGAAACAATTTTACAAGACCTGGTGCATCAGCAAGGAAAAGGTGACAAGAAGATGCAATGCAAATTAGAGATAAAGTTCCGCCGATGGAGATTGATATTCAGTAGGATCTACATGCATCAGTACCGGCACCGGAAAAAGGTCCGTAGATTCGTATCCATCTTGATCTACTCATCTCTAGCTCCAGCTACTATCTAGACGTTTGATGATCTAGCTTTCCAGCTGTCGACAAACCTCTCCATTATGCAGACCGCTGAGGGAGGCCTGTATATATGTTCGGGGCCCAAATGCGAGAAAGGCCTTAAAAATTGACACTTACGATGCCTTCAGTGAGGGGTTTACGAGGTGAAATACTGGAAAAAGTCGGAGATTTCCCGACAAGTCCCGATCGACGATCGCCAGTAAAAGGGATCCCTGGAATTGCC